AAGAAAGAGCTGATTTCTGAAGTCATTGTCAGGGTTCCGCCAATCGTAGCACACTTTGAGATCTTCCTGATAGAAAGGGACTTCCCTTCCTTCTGCGGTTGTCCACTTCCTGAAAAGCTGCATCCTGATGGATGCATCGACAATTTGACTCTTCCGAACATCTCCCACTCTAAACATCAGACACATTTTGCCATCTCTTGGTGCTATGACTGCATAATCTGAGAACATCACAGTCTTCATGCGTTCTCGAGGCTGAGACAACTTAGCAAAAGTCAAACCAAGCATGAATGCATCTAAAATTAATCCAACTAGAGATTGCACTTGCAATACGATTGCAGCTTCAGGACATTTGCTTGTTATTGATCTGCTTCCATAGCCAATTGTTTGCTCCGTTTCGATTGAAAAAAGAAAAGCAGATACCCAATCGTAAACCTAGAGAAAAAGATCATAAATATCATTATTACTACACCTATCATATGCATGCAGATTAAGCTGCAGTTTAGTTTAGTGTGACTGTAGTTGAACCTTACCCATAGTTTAATTTATCTATCATTGCTACCATTAGCTAGAAATAACTTATCCTAGAACCATTGGATTATGTGTACTAAAGGCATCAGTGGTTGTGAGTGGATCAATACCCTTGATCGATACCCTCTATCAACACTCGATCGATACTCCATCGAAACCTCAGTTGACACTTGATCGACACTTCATTGACATCTAGGTTGAGAATCAACTTATTTTTGTAGACATGCCATTGAGTGTTATCAATACATATGAGTGTCGGTTGACACTCTTTTGACTATCAACTCTTTTGACTATCAACCAACTGTCAATCGCATGTTGATCGAGACATTGATTGAGTGTTAGCTGAGTATCGATCAATATGTCCATCAATTGTCGGTCGAGAGGTCGACTGAGGGTCGATCAAGAGTATCACTTGACACTCGACTGCAGATGCCCTTAGTACACATCATCCGAACCATTTAGAGTATTAGGCCAACAAAACCAATATATGATACAGTATACTACTTGATACTTTTGAATAAATTAACTTTCCCTTTCTCATCCAACCCAAACATACAGTGCAGCAGGGATCACTGTCGTGCGAAAAGCTTATGGAGGAGGCTGAAACTTTCCAACAATTTCTCCAGACACTTTTTATCAGTGTCCTTCCAGTGGCCCTTTTCCCCAAGCTCCCTTCTCATGTCATATATCACAGTCATATACTTTTAATTTTTAAAATTTTTTATCCCTAGTTCATTCATTGTAAATCATATTCATAAGTATAGTTAGAGCAGGTTTCCATCAGGACTTTTGACTTGCCTATTCTTTGTAACCTGCTTTGAGGTGGCTCACTACAGTTTTTCAGAGACTCTGTAGCACATGCTACAATTGCCTTCCAGATGTCAGTATTAGTTGTGCATGCAAAAATAACGGAAGTAACCTTAAGAAGAAACAAAAAAAACTTCAGCACTTGAATTACTTTAAATCACTTTGGTACAAAAAGGGATAATTTCAAACTGCTTTGAAGCAAGTCTCTAAGCCTAGGACCAAAAAAATATGCCAAAAATGGTTGATACACATGCGGTACAAGAGTTCTAATTTTCTCTAACCTGCTTTCTCATGTGCGATAGATGGCATCACATAAGCATGCACTTTAGATAAAAGACATGCGCAGTTCAATTCCTGCGCAAGGTTGTAAAAACCAGTCTTTGATCCATGATTGCTCGAAAACCTATTGTAACACCCATGATGAAATTTTCACATTTGATTTGCAGGGCAGAATCGTGTTTTGAGCTAAAATTTTAAAAAAAACCTTTAAAACAGATTTTGAGCTATTTTTGAAATAGGCAAAATTTCACATTTTCTTAGCTCATGAAAAATGTGTTTAATTTACAGATTTTTTTTTTTGTTTTCACTCTGCATAAATGTTTAATCAGACGGGTAGATTTTGAGAAAAACGTCATTAAACCTGCAAGTTCCCAGTCATTCATTTTGGCTATTCATTGACAATTAAATTGTTCAAGTATCACATACAATGGTGGAAGACTTAGCAAACAGTAATTTAAGAAAGCAAAAACATTTTGGTACATTTTTCAAAAGGAGAAGTTGGACTCCTACACTGTGGTTAGCCACCTTCAATAAATCATATATGTATGTAAGTGCCAGTATGTAAGTATTACATTCAGATTATGAGCACACATATTAGAGGAATTGAAAGTAAGTTTTTCTTTTAATTTACCTCCGTAGCACAAACAGACGGTCCTCGCACCGCAATAAGAAGCCACCATATCAAACCAAACAGAATCCAGGACAGCACATACGAACCACAAAATATCAAGATCACCCATGGCCAGTGAAGATCAATCATTGTAGTGAATATATCAGCGAAGTACAGCTTCGTTTTCCTTGGTACATTCCTGGCTGACACTTTAAGAGATCCATTTTTACCGACCAAACGTTTCTTCCTGGAACGACTGCGAGCAGGTAATCGAGTGTGTTGATCGAAAGTTGGTGAAGAACATGGCGGATGAAGTGAAATTGGTGCTCGATTTCCTTGACGCTTCGATGATCGCATGCTTACCAGATTATCAGAAGAGAATGGTTCTATTCTAACGAACGATTCTTCTGCATCATTGGCATCACTTGTGTCGGCATGGCGATCAAAACTCGAGTTGTTAGATGCCATTTTTCTGAGATGTTTGTGTGAGCTGTGACGGCTGTGACAGAAGAAGTCACGCTCTCTGAACTAGTACCCAATCTCAGACATTGAACTAGTCGCGTGGCTAAACCTGGGTGCCAGACGAAATTGCAGAGGCCTTAAAGTTAACATTTCGGATAAATCAAGGCTAAATGCTGCACAGTTGTCTCGTAGCTGTCTCGTATCGTCAATTTGACTAACATTTTGTGTGGTGAGGGATTTTTGTTTATTACTGATAGTCTGTCTGCACAATTTTTCGCAGTCACTCAGTACATTTTCAGGGATCCTAAATCCGGACTGAAAGCTAAGATGCAACCGTGGACAGCTGTTTCGAGCTGGTTGGATTTCGTCAGCACGGAGTAGCAGCAAAATATAGAGCAATCAGCACAAAGGCTAATTGTTTACTTAATTCTCATGGTCTGAATGACCTCAGATGAAACTGAAATCCATGTTTGTGCAAATGTCCTTCCCGTGTTAGCTCGTGTTCCCAGGCCTTAGCGCCCTGGTAGAACAACCCACCTACCACCTAGCCTTGACATATACAAGGAAAGAATTGTCCTTCCGTTTACTTCACTGCCCTGAGCACAATGAGAGCCTCCCAGAAGGCAGACATTGTCTTAGCTCGTCAAGCCAGCCAAGTAGAAAGTCAGTTGGAAAAACGAAAGAGGAGGGACTAGACAGCTCATTATTGTCTAGAAAGCGCTTTTTTTCTACATAAGAGTAGTAAAGTTCACAACTAATCAAATAAAAAAAAGTATTTCTCGACCTTCTTCAAAAATAACTTATTTATTTCAGGTCAAATTCCTGATCTTAAAATTATATTTCTGTGCACGTAAGAAAATAAATCACTCAAATTAGAAGTTCACTGAGAACCTTGTCGATGAAAAATGGTTTGCTGTTTGAATATCATTATTTACACTCATTACGTTATTTATATGCGAGATAGGAATATTGCTAGGCTTGATTTATACCAGCCACTGTTTAGGAATGAAAGAAACCTGCATTCCTTCCCCGAAGTCTCTTCTCGGGGAGGAAAGTGGGCCGAACTCGAGAGAGCGGCGGAAATCGAGCCCAGAATATTGCATGACGCAAAAATTCTACAAATTTTCTAAAAAGCCACCAAGTTTCATTTTCTCACTTGCCACTTACAATGGCTTCATTTAATTAACGCCTATTTAAACACACCTTCCAAGAAGACGTTTCTCCATCGTTGCGCAACCTCTACTGACTAAGATAACTTCTGTAAAGGTCGCCATGTTTAAGATTGAGCGCAAACGTTTTAGATCGCTACAAAAGTTAAAACAGGTCACTACGAATGACTTCAAACTAATTAATGATAGCTAGCAGTATCTAGCTAAAAAGCAATAATGTCAGTTATTTATTTTTACCTCGTCAAAGCTTGGATACGCGCGTGTGGATAGAATCAAGTTTAATTTTCGCTAGCGTGAATTTCCACGACAGCGGGACGCTTCCCAGAAAACGTGAGCAGGCTGTTAACTTTAACTCGTTTGCCCAGCATACAACTACGGCTAAAATAAAATTATCTGCCAAATTCTACTATTTTTCGTTTCAGCTGATAATCAACAACTTTTCTGATCACCACACAAAACATACTTGCGAGAACTTCCGTGTCATATCGTTTTATGATGTGTAAAAATTTTGCCTGTTTTAACGCTTATACAATGAAAAACTATCATAAACGACTTCGTGCTATGATCAGAGCTATTTAAACGATGAATTTATCAAGCTGGTGCAAGAAAAACAAAGGGTCAATTCTTAATCTGAAATTTGATGAAACAGAATTAACGATGGTATGGCGGATTATCGTGATACAAAAAGATTACCAATTTTTATTGCGCAAAATCGAAATTCGAAAATGATTATCTAATTCGAATCGAAACGCAAATTTACCACAAGAAGTATTTTGATCTTGATTGCCATGTAGATATTCGCACCTTGATAAGCCGTTTGAGTTGTTAATTGCTGTGCAAAACAAACACAAAAAGGTCAATCGGTTTACCGCCATGAAATTTCGATTAGCAGTCTTTGTGATTTAGTTCATGTGCGTATCAGTTCGAAAATGAAATCACTTCAGCTAGCTTGTGATTTAGCTTTTAAAAACTGAAATGAAATGGCGCTCTCGTTAATACCAAAATTACCAAACTGCTCACCCATATACAGTGCTTCATATTCCAAGCACTCATTTTACAAGGTCGCGAAAAAAATTTGCTCGCCGTGTCAAGCTATATATACACCTTATCATTCCAACACACCTTTCTTGTTTCTAATACCAACCTAACTTATGTTAAACATACGCAATTGTGTCTCCTCCGTTTGTTTCAAACCCAATATTTAATACTGTATCGGCAGGTCTTTGTTCTTCAGAGTCTGAATCGTCGTCGACCTCTTCTTGCATTCCAAGGCTCGGCAAAGAAGCTTCTGAATTCATTTTAAACAATTTTCCTTCGTAATAGTCCTTAGCGGAAACCCGGGGGGTGGAAACCGGGCGAGTGTCATCGAAAACTGAAAAATCTACCCTGTACCTGCCAGACCTCCACTTACTCTCGTCCGTAGTGCTTACAAATTCATGGCCCCACAGGATTTCATCCGCAATATAGGATGTTTTCGCTTGAACAAGCATACTTGTTGCTTCTACTGTTCCTTCTAGAACTACGACGATCTCGAAATCGCAATTAAGCACGTCTTTCGGTCGCATTTCGTAGAGGGGGCTATTTTCGTCGATAACGTGAACTATGGTAAGTGGAAGAATCAGAAAGATGGTACTGTCTTCCAGCAAGTTCTCGTCACAGGACCAGTCTATTCCGACGGGCAATTTCTGTTGATAAAACGGCAGTTCAATTCCTTCCCGAGTTTTTCTTTTACGAAAGAGGTACACTCGAACGACCGCTTCTAAAATCTGACTCTTTCTAACGTCACCCACTCGAAACATGAGGCACATTTTGCCGTCACGCACGGCCACAACAGCGTTGCGAGAAAACAGAATCGTTTCCGCTCGGTTACGTGGACGAGAAAGTTTGGCGAAAATCAAACCCAACATAAATGCACCGATAATGAACCCGATCAGCGATTGCACATTGAGTAAAACAACAGCTTCGGGGCAGTTAGGGGTGATTTGTCGACCACCGTAGCCAATAGTTGTTTGCGTCTCAAGAGAGAAGAGGAACGCACTTGTAAAGGAGTCAACATTATCGACACAAACGTTGCCTCCGCGAAAGTACGTAATAAGCCACCACAAAAATCCAAAACCCACCCAGCTCCCACAGTACATGGCAGTGTATACCAAAGTGATCCATCGCCATTTCGAGTCAATCATTGTTGTAAACAAATCAGAGATATACATGCCGTGTTTTTGTGGGACTTGTGATGCTACTACTTTCAAACCTCCCTGCTTTCCGACGAGACGGCGTTGCTTGCCGTGTTTCGTCGACAGGACTCGCTTCGTTCTATTCTTTTTACTCCTTGCCTGCCGTGGTTTGTTCCTTCGAGGATCACTTTTCCCATTTGGCTGTTGTATAGTCACTTCTTCCAGTTCGTACTTTTCGCTACCGTCTCCGCCGGAGTCGTTCATGTTTGAGCAATCCGTGGACGATGCTCTCGAGTCTGAAAAATCCTCTATTTCTCTCTGTTCCGCCTCTCCCCTTTGCCAGTGACGTCTAACTTGGTTGCTAGCCCTGTCTGAGTAAGATGACATGTTTAATGATCGACCACTTGCAGTAACGAAACTCTAAAACTCTGCGTCAAACACTTCTGACTTCCCGTCGTAAAATATAAGCATGTGACAAGGGTCGCCAAGCTGTAGCCCTTGGCCCGCTGTCAGGAATTATTGGTCAATATTTAAGCCTACGTTAAAATGTAATTTTTAACAGATACACGTCAAAGTATGCAACACAATCTCAACTTATATTTCATCAAATCTCGACTGTGAAAATTCGAGACTAGGCGCGAAAAAGCTATCAAAAACCGCGGCAAAAACGTGAACAATCGAGCGTAAACCACAATTACCCTATCATACCTGACAAATTGGTTTCCTCGTTCTTAGAAGTGTACACAATGTTTAATTTTGTTTAGCGATATTCGCTGCAACGCTTGTTCATTGCTATGCTCTTTCGTTTATTGTGTTGGTGTACTCATTTTCCAGCCCTTGGGAATTTTACTGAATGCCGTGATCTATTTGCATTAGCCATGAATTTAGCATATATTTGCATGCCCCAAGGTGACTTTTTCACTTTCGGAAACAATATTCTGTCACGTACTTCATGAAAATAAACATTGCACACTACACGTGGAAGTGCGGTGCCATTTTTTTTTCTCGCACACGCTATTGCGCTTTTGTAGGACTGACCTTTCTCAAAAGAGCTGTTTATTAGTACACTTTCTTCGATGCACTCACTTCCTTGAGTCACTGTGTAGGGTTATCCTACCTGTGAAATTTTACTTGTAAACCCGGGCCATCTTTTGCCCTTCAGCTAGGGTTAACCCGCTTGCTAGGGTCACCCTCCCTCCTTGTAAACAGGCTTTTAGTGGAAAAGTGAAAATGAAATCGTTGTAAGGTGTTGAATTGTCAGTTTTACTCTCTGTAACACTCCATGTCATGACATGCTGTTTCGACAATGGTTGTTACGCAAACAGCGTAAAAGTGTACGCGACATTGGCGTTGTTTGATGGATCGAGGCTCACGGTCTTTCAGCAATTCAAAAAAAAAAAAATTATGACTTAGGTAATGCCCATGGTTAAATTCTCTTTTCCAAGGTATTTAGAGTGTTTGTGATGACTATATATAAAAAACAAGAACAAAAAAAAATGACTGAGGCATTCCTGTTACTAGCTACGGCTCTGGCTTCAATCAAGCAACAGAACTGCCACCATTATCCGTACTACGTTTTGACATTGTACTTAACGTGCGGTTACACTCAAAGGGTCTGATCTGGAAACAATCAGAAAGTTCACCCAGGTAGGCGGGTGAACCCTAGCTGGAGTGTTTACCAGGGAAAAAGTTAACCCACCTGCCAGGGTAATCCTAGCACGCAGATAGGGTAACTCGCCTACCTTTTCTTGAGAGTGAAACCATTACACTGACAATTTCTTGTTCTCAAAAACATAAATGTGAGAGTGAACTGATGCTGATGGTGAACTCGAAAAGATAATGAGTACGAACTCGGACGGTGTGAAGTCAATTGGGTGCGAAACCTGCACAGTTTAGCTGTTTCGACAAGGCCGTTTTTGAACAAAAACGACGCTTCAATGCCGATTGGCATTATGGGTAGTAATAGTTTAATGCTTTATTGAGGTTCACGGTGTTTCAGCAAGAAGGATTGAGAAAGCATAAATACACGTGTTTGGGCTGTTTTCTTTTATTACGTTGAAACACCTTGAATTTTAATTAAGCAACAGTAAACCACCATTAGCCGTAATATTACCTTTCGACATTCTTCTTCTTCCAAGTTGCCCCACCTCCTTCATTGCTGATGATTCTTGTAGAGGTGAAGATTTATTGTTGCGTACTCCTATACGCTTTTGTCACGACAAACTTTCTCAATGTGGCTGTTTACGCCGTTATTTCCGCTAGCCCGACCTTTGTTACCATTCCCTTCTGATAGACGGAAACTACAAAACCGTGGCAACATGAGATAAAACTGTGATAGCGCAAGCACAGTATGACTTTCAAATACGAGGGAAAATGGAATGATACCAAAAATCAAATATCTGATGCCTTCCTTGTTTTGTGATAATCTTGCTTTGATCTACGCAGTATTCTACTTTCAAATCAAAGCAATGTAACTTGATTGCTATATCATAACCTTATTATATGTTCAAGATAATCGATGACCATAAATACTGTATGTATTCATGGTGATGCAAATAAAGCTAGTTGCTGTTGTTGTATGTTCTTTGACGCAAAAAAAAAAAAAA